ACAATTCTTTTATTTTTATTTATTTATTTGTTTATTTATTTATTTATTTTTAAGGATTTTATTTATTTATTTGACAGAGAGAGAGATCACAAGTAAGCAGACGGGCAGGCGGGCAGGCAGGCAGGCAGGCAGAGGGAGAAGCCGGCTCCCTACTGAGCAGGGAGCCCGATGTGGGGCTTGATCCCAGGACGCTGGGATCATGACCTGAGCCAAAGGCAGACACTTAAATGACTGAGCCACCCAGGCGCCCCTGAACAATTCTTTTAAAATAATATATCAATTCAGCTATACTTATAGTCACTTTCTTAGCATTTATAATTTAGGGCTCTTTATACTATATAAACAAATCATTTGTATGTTAAAGATGATTTAAGGTACAAAAATGCATATCAAAAATTTCTAGAAGGACCCACTGAATAGCAGGTGAAAAATCTCCACCACAGAGTCTAACTCCCTGGGATCTAGAAGCTGGCAGAGAGAAGCCAGAGGAAAACAAAATTTATAAGCGTTTACAAATAAAATGAAAAAAAAAAAATCAGGCATTTCTTCAGAATAGGAACTTCTTAAAGGACAGCCAAAAAAAGAAAAAAGGGATTATTTCTACTTTAGCCTTTTCCAGTACTTCCTTCATCAATCCTGTTATTTGGTAATAGGTTTATTGAAATATAAGTGACATGCTATAATATTTACCCATTTGAAGTGTACAAGTCAATGGCTTATATATAATTTTATATTATGTATAAGATTATATAAATATAACATGTACATAATATAAACATATTTATATATAACATAAGTTATATATTTATAAATATAAAATATATTTTATATATTATAATTTTATATTTATAAATAAATTATAAATTGTAATTATTATAAATATAACAATATATTTATAAATTATAAAATATAGTAGTATATTTAGGAATAAAGTATAGAATTTATTATGGAATAATATAAATAATATCTATAAATAAATATATATATTATTATATATCTTTTCTATTCATATATAATATATAATATTATATATTATATAAAATAATATAGATATATATAAACATAATAAATAGACATAATAAATAAAATAAACATAATATATAAACTAATAAATGAAAATGCATAAACCATCACCACAATTTTAGAACACTTTTATTATTCTGAAAAGAAATCTTATACCTTTTATCTTTCACCTCCCAAACCTCCCATCTCAGCCCAAGCCAATCACGAATCTTTCCACTGTACAGAGTTGCCCATTCTGGACATTTCATATACATAAAAAAATACGTGGCCTTTGTGACTGGTTTCTTTCACTTAGCATAAATGTTTTCAAAGTTTGTCCATGTTGTAGCATGCCCAAATATTTCATTGCTTTTTATGAATGAAAAATGTTCCATTGTATGGGTGTATGACGTTTTGTTCATCGGTGGGTGGACATTGGGTTTTTCCATCTTTTTGATGAAGGATAACTGGAAGAAAGGCAGGCAGGGACAAGCACCCCCTCCCCCTTAAAAGGATTTTTAAACCCACCCTGGAGGGAGCCCTCCACCGTTTTCTATGTGATAGATAGATGACAAAAACCTGATTGGATGACAGGCCAGGGAGGGTAAATCAGATTAAAACAGCCCTCCAACAAGCCCATAAAAACCCCTAGACTTAGGCTGATGGCAACCGTCTCAGGTCCCCTCCCTCTTTGGGAGCTTTGTGTTATCACTTTGCTATCACTCAGTAAACCTTGCTTTGCTGCCCACCACTCTGGTCTACTTCTCCATTCTTTGAAGTGGCGTGACCAAGAACTGTGAGCACCAAAGGAGAAGTAAATCCTGTAACAGTTGACAATATTGTAAATGTTGCAATGCACATTTGAACACAAGTTTTTGTGAAGACAGGTTTTCATCTCTTTTGAGTATATACCTACGCCTCTTTTCCAGAGCTCAGCAGACAAATGGCCTTTGCATATACAAGCCCAGGCCTTCTGTAAGCTCTGAGGGGTATTCCCTGAGCCCCTGACCTCAAACCTGGCAGGTTAAGCCGAAATTCTACTCAACCTTCAAGGCCCACTTCATGCACGGATACATTCACTCAATAAATGTTTATTCATTCTATACTAGGTGCCAGGCTCTCTGCTACGTGCTGGGGATGCAGAAAGAACAACATAGCATTTGGAAGCAAAATTCAACCAAGTTAATGTGAAGATCTAATAAGCTTTATTAAACAATTTATGACTTGACTAGCGTCTCCCATCTGGCAAGTAAGGGGAGCTCCAAGGAGTTGGACAAAATGGAAGGTTTTTATGGGAAAGAGGTTGGGCAAAAAGTTATTAGCCAAAGAAAGGACTGTTCCAGTCAAGGTTACCTTCCCTTAGCCAGAAGGGCAGGAAGTCTTATAAGGTGGGTCATGCCACTTTCCTTAGGGAGTGGGAGACTGGAAAGGGCCCATGTGACAGATTACCTCACTGGTGCTGACCAGAAATTCTGGATTCATTGGCTTAAAATTCCATTCTTGGGAAGGTAGAAACTGCAGTTAAGTATTGGTTTGCTGTCCTGGGGGCAAGTGACTCTGAGGGAAAAGGTTAGGGTATAGGCAGGGAGAGATAGGAGGCCCATGACTCCCCTGACTAGGCTCATGCAGGGGGCTAAGTGACCAGGCTCACAGAAATCCCAAATAGGCTCACGGAAATCCCAAATGTGGAGAAATATTGAGGTGGACAAAACCAGGGATAAGGGAGCAAATCAGACCACCTGGTCCTGAATGTTGGAGAGTATTTTGTTTTGTTTTGTTTTTGGCAGCTACATTGTAATCACAGAAAATGACCAGACCTCAAAGAAGTAAGCCATTAAGAGATGTTATCATTAGTCCTTGCTCAAACCAAGCGGCAAAGAATTTCAAGGCCAAAAGCTTCCTGGTCAGTTCTCAATAAAAGACTGCCAGTAAAAGCCCACAGGGGCAACCCCATTCGGGACCCCTCTCACTCTAGAGACCTTTTTTCTTTCCTTTCTGCTCTCACCTTCACTTAATAAACTTTCACTTCACCTTTTTGTGTCTGCAAGATTCACTCTTCAACTCCGTGAGACAAGAACCCCACAACCCTATAACAACTCTTCCCTGGGCTTGTGGCTTTCATTTTAACTATAGGCAAGAATCCTTATCCTCATGGAGTTTAAGAGCCAGTAAGGGCATTGAGGAGAATAAACAAGCAAATTATACGGTGTGTCCCTTTCTCCATGAAGCATTCCTAGATGCGGCGGGAAGGGTTAAATTCTACTCAAGTAGTACTTGTTTATTTCTCTTTTATTTCAAAAAAGTGATTTCTATCTCTACAACGGCACCCATTCAAAATTTCATTAAAAAGAGATAATGTAAAGTACTCAGCACTCCTGTTACGATGAAGAGAGATTTACCATGGTCATCTGTGTATCCTCCCCATTTGGGTTTCTTTTTATGAGTTCCATTATGGGGTTTGAAAATGACTGACAACATGTGGGAGATGACATGTCAATAACACTGATTTGCAGAATAGAGTCCATGGTTCTCAAGATATGACAGGGTAAGCTTGCAGCTGGGACCATCATGACTTGTAGCCTCCTTCCCCACTGTTCCTCAGCTACCCCACTCAACTGAGGGTTTAGTAACCGCGGGCGGACTCTGAAACTTCCTTCCACTCCTTTCTCTAATTGGGACCAAACAGGTATTAAGTGCATGTGTCCAGCTAGCTCTCTGCTGTGCCCTGGCAGGCACAGGGACTGTGTGACAGCTGGTGCCAGGTATCTGCAAGATGCAGCAGATAGCAGCCAGTGATATGGGAAACAAAGGCAGAAGGAAATGTAGAAAAAAATTAAATGTCCTTTTAACCTGCAGCCCATATTGACAAATACTTGAGATCTGCAGAGTATAACATTCCTCCAGGAAGCTCCTAACTGTCTTAATGCTTTGCTAGAGGGAAAAACAACCTTATCTCGACAATAGCAAGGCCTCCAGAATCCTGTGAGTCTTCTTTAGCCTATGAAAGTCATTTTGGAACTTCCCTTTTCTTTACTTTCCCAACCCCAAAGTATATCATTAGTTGCTCCTCACAATCCTGGGGTTACAGCTCTTTCTGCCCACAGGTCTTGTCCCAGTGCTTTAATAAAATCATCTTTTTTGCACCAAAGACTTCTCAAGAATTCCTTCTTGGCTGTGGGCTCTGGATCCCAACAACATTACTCAAACCATACGACATCACCAGGACCTCTTGGGAGTCCGCCAGATCTACAGCTTTCTTATTACCAGGAGCACCTGGATAAAATAGTAGACTTTCCTGAGCCTCTCGAATAAAACTGGGATCATACCTAGGTTGCAAAGTTGTCAAAAGGATTAGAAGGGGGGGAATGACACGTCTTGAGCCACCCCATCTCCATCAGCCTCCCTAGCCACTCCCCAGATAAACTCCAAGTAAAACAGTGTACTCGCTGTGTGTGTGTCCCCTTTAGGACAGGTCTGGCACCCCTCTTTCCCACAGATTTCTGCCCCTAAGTCCCTTCTCTATAGAAATCTTGAGGCAGGTCCTGAAATTCATACCCATTTATTGTTAATAACTGGAGGATCTTATAGGCATGTTCTCAGAATATCAGCGCTAACAGAGCCTTTTAAGGCTCTTCTGGGAGGCCTGCTATCATGATACCCCAACTCAGTCAGTGGTTTCCGAAATGAACGAAATAAAGGACAGTCAAGCAGGAATCCATCAAGCTCTGCTCCGCTGCTTTCAGGCGGCAGCGGCCCCTGGGGGATTTCTCCCCGCTTCAGCTCCCCTCCGCTCCCCACTGGCCCCCCTCGGTCAGGTTGGAGGCGGAGGAGTCCCGGAGCGGGGAGCCCAACCGCAGCGGCTCAGAGGCGGGCGCCGAGTCCGCGAGGCGGCGGGGCCGGGGGGGGGGGGGGGGGGGGGCGGGGGGGGGAGGGAGCGGTGGAGAGCGGAGGGCGGAGGGCGGAGGGCGGGGGGCGGGCCCCGGGCTCGCAGCCGTCACGTGGCGAGTCAGCCGGGCGCGCGGGGCGGGGCCGGGCGCGGTAAATAGGCGCGGGGGCAGCCTCCGGGAAGCTACGGCGGCTGCTCGGCCCGGCGCTGGCGGGGGCCCCCGCGCGCTCGCAGGGTGCAGGCCCAGGCTCTCGGCTGCGGGGCTCGGTGAGTGCGGCGCCGCCGCGGTGGACGTGACCTTGGAGGGGCAAGGGGAGCCCGGGGCGGGGTGGGGGGAGCTTTGGCGCCCCCGCCAGGCCCAGGCGCGGTCCCGCGGCATCCCCGGGGCGGGCGAGAAGGCGGGGGACCCTCGGGCCGTCACAGCCGGGCGGGCAGGGGTGGCAGCTCGCACTCTCCTAAAAGTCGTTGCGGTGAGGAAAGCAAAACACACACACACACACACGCACATACACACTCTCTCTCCCTCCCTCCCTCTCCCTCGGCCCCCCCCCCCAGGCGGGCAGCCTGGCACCCACCCCGACTCCGGCCAGAAAGCAGGCGCCCGCCGGCCCCCTCCGCTAGGGCTGAGTTCGCCACCCCACGTGGGCTCACCCCGACCCCCACGGTCCGCCCGCCTCCGGGGTCGGGCTGGGAAGCAGCCCTGGAGGAGCTTGCGGGAAGAGCTTGGCTTGGATCCAGGTGACTTTTGGCTAGAATCTAGCTCCCCAGCCCGTCGTGAGCTTCCGGGCCTCAGTTTCCTCTGGAAATTGCTGAGATCATAGTGTCTCCCTACATCTGTTTTAGGTGTTTTCTTATTCCAAAGAGTTTGCTTGGGCAACTTTCTGCACAAAACCACACGCACGATTCTAGGGACCCCGGAAGATAGAATCCAGAAAACTGGAACCTGGAACTGGGTGGAGCAGGGAGGGTGGAGGCCACAGGATGAGTTAAATCCACTGATGGGAGGACAAATTAAGCAGAGGGGTTAGGAGACTAGGTAAAGGGCTTGGGAACCCTAGTCGCCCTCTCCCTGGGAGGTGGGGGAAGATGCCACTCCCTACTTCTCGACTTGGTGGAAGGGAGACCCTGCCTTCCATAGGCCCAGGACTGTTTGAGAGACGAGAAAGTAGGGCAGAGTCCCTGGGGCACCACCTCTTCCCTCAGTTAATGACCCTGGAGGCCTGGGAGAGGCAGCATCTGGGGAGCAGTGAGGAGTGGCTGAGTCTGGGGGGCGCTCAGCAGGCCCTCCAGGTGGATGTGAATTGCATTTGCCTTAGTGGGCCTAGGTCATTCTCTTCCCCTGGCACTGAGGAAGCCAACAGGCTGTGCAAGCATAAGGACAATAACCCAGGCCCGACATCCCTCTAGGAGTCCCTCACACCAGTGGGAGGGGCGGGGGTGGGGTTCAAATGGAGACCTAGCATCTTTAGTTAACCTTAGAAAAATGGATCAAGTGCCTTCATCAGACACAAATGCATCTGGGATGCATTCATCCTGTTGAGTCTATACATTCAGAATAAGAATGTGAAGAGGCTTAGAAGGGTGTCTGGTTGGGTAAGGGCTGCTTTTCTTCCATAACATCCTTAAATAATGGAGAATTTTTTTTGTGTGGGTTTTTGTTGTTGTTTTTGTTTTGTTTTAAGTAGGCTTGGTTACTTAAAGTAGGCATGGTTACCCACCATGGGGTTTGAACTCAAAACCCTGAGATCAAGAGTCACATGCTCTACTGCCTTGAGCCAGCCAGGCACCTTGAGAATTGTTTCCTGTTGGCACTGGTGAGGGTGACCTAGAGCCCTTGAACTTTATAGAGAAAGAAGCTGAGCTGCACCACCCCTCCTCCCACGCGCACACACACACACACACACACACACCCCACCTGTGTGGCTTTTCCCAAAGAGAGTTAAAGGTGCCCTGGAGAAAGCTTCTGCTCCAATCTTTTTGGGCATCTGCCCCAGAGCTGGGGTATTGCCCCTCAGCAGTGGAAGGGTGTAGATCCCTTATCTGGGGGCTTCGCAAGCCAGCCCAGCCCCAGCTCCAGTAACTCCCCTGCTGTTGTGTCAGGACAGCTCTGTTTCCAGACTGGTCGGGTGGTGAGGGGGGTAAGCTCTTGGGCCCCAGGATGAACCTGTCCATGTGCTGCTGATTCAGCATCTTGAGCTGAGGCCTTTCTCTTAGACTGGTTCTTTCTTTCCTCAGTTATAGGACCTGGGCGTGGGGATAGGAAGTTGCACACATTTTAGGGCTAGGAGATATTTTGTATTCCTGTTGGGCAGTTGGACTGAGAAGCAAGGGAGAGCACATTCAGGGGAGTTGTGGGGCGTCTGTTGGGTGATTTTCTTAAATGTGGTAAGGAGTTGTGGTTTTGTAGAATATCCCTAGGGTCCTTGGGAGGGAAGGACTGGGCTATTTCCGAGTAAGGGCTCGATATGTCTGCTGCCTGTTTTAGATAGTTTGACATAAGGAAAATGCGAAGATGATAAGAACTGGGGATTTTTCTAGATCAAGAAGGATGGAAATCAGGCACTTTTCATATGGTTCAGCCTCACGTGCAGAGAGGTGGTGGGGGTTGACAAGTTGATGAATGTAGATGGGGCACATGCAGGTGGGTATTGTACTCAGTGGATGTTGGGAGGCAGTCAGCAGCAGTGTCTACACCCGGTCCCGAGTACATCATCACCTCTTGGTTTCAGCTCCTCGCACACTCCAGAAGCTGCCTAAGAAAGGGTGTGTGGGCAATAAAAACTGGGTCTTTCCATGGCTGTTCATGTTCATATCCCACCTAGGGATCAAATGCCAGTATATATTTAGACTTAACCAGTCTCGTTTCTAACCTCCAGCCTCATCCCCACACCCTTTCCCCAGCTCAGGCTTGTGTGGGGTTCACAAGGAGTGCATTTCCTCTTGGACACGGCCCCAGGCGGGAGGCAGGTTTCAGCTTGTTTGCTCTGCAAGTCCATTACTGCCCCCCTGCCTTTTTCTGCTCTTCCTGCTCTTCCCCGGGGACGTGGTAGCTCCTATCTTGGTCTTCTCTTTATAATTCTCCTGCACGTTTTCGGGGGTACTTTTAATACTTTGTATCAGTCCATGAACAGTGTTACTAAAGTGATAAAATTGTGATGGTGCTGCTTGTATCCTTTCCCACTGGTGTTAATGAGGTTTATTATTTACATGGATAATGCAACTCTAGTTCATGCATCTTAAACGCACAGTATTTACTGAGGGACAGGTTGTTTTTACTTTCTCACTGTTCAGGGCAGCCTGCAGTAAATCCTTGTACCTCTCAGGCACCCCCAAGGGTTTCTCTAGGGCAAAAGCAGGAGAAGGCCAGTTAATTCCTGGGTCATAAGATGTGTGCCTCTTCCGTTTTGCTAGATACTGATAGAATGCTGTTCAAGTTTTCCCAGTATGTCCTACCAGCAGTGGTGAGGGTTCCTGTTCCTCATTTACCACCACTGGATATTACCAGACTTTGATTTTTACCAACCAGATGGGTTTGAAATGGTGTCGCTCTTTTAATTTCTGTGACCAGGAATTCAAATAAGTCTTTGCTCTCGGAAATCGTTGATGAGTGAGGATTTCTATTTTTGTAGTTGATCACTGACAGTGCTTCTAGTTGTTTTTTTGTTTTTAAGATTTTATTTATTTGACAGACAGCGAGAGAGGGAACACAAGCAGGGGGAGTGGGAGAGGGAGAAGCAGGCTTCCCGCTGAGCAGGGAGCCCGATGCGGGGCTCGATGCGGGGCTCGATGCGGGGCTCGATCCCAGGACCCTGGGATCATGACCTGAGCCGAAGGCAGACGCTTAACGACTGAGCCACCCAGGCGCCCCAACAGTGCTTGTAGTTTTAATGTGTTTGTTAACAGCTAGAACTCACCGAGGTTTCTTTAGATCCAAACAGGTATCTGGACTTCTGCAATTAGATAACCTTTTCTAATTTTTTTCTTTTTAACTTTCAGAATGCATGTGAATTTTGGGTAGTGCAGTTTGACTCTTCCACTTTACAGATGAGAACACTGAGGCTCCTGAAAGCTTGTGACATGACAGGGGTCGCTAAAATAATTGTGGTGTAATTTTAGAGTTTGATCTCTTGGTAATTGTCCGTACCTACTCAGATACACTCTTCAGGGCACGCTTCTGGCGTTTTCTCAGGCACCACTTTATCCCTCACCTATAAAACAGAAGTTCGATACAAGACCAAAGGTCCTTTCCCAGCATTACTGTTTTCAGACTGCGGGGTGCCGAGGAAGCTGCCTGCCTGTGTTATCTGTCTCTACCAGGCTCCTAATTCATTCAGTCTGGCCATCAAGATAACCTAGTCACTAGCAAGGGTAAGGGGAGGAGGATGGGGTAGATATCACCAAAAACAGCAAACTGATCCAGTCTAAAGCACTGCAAGAACATCCGAGTTACTCTGCCAAGAGACCCAGCAGGGGCTGGGCTTCTCTGTGACCCTCTGACCTGGGCTTGGGCAGGGTGTGCTTACACATACCCAAGTCACGCAGCCTCTGGGCTTGCACAAGCCCTGGGAGGGTGGTGCCAGCCAGGAGCCCTGGCCATTCTGGGGTTGAGGCATCGGCAGACATCAGCTGGGAGCCATCTTTTCCTCCACTGAGCCCTGTGGGTGCTTGGGAGTGCTTTGTTATGGTGGGCAAGATAGCAGAATGAACCAGTATTTAAGGACTTGTTGCTAAAAGTAGGGTGATGATCATTTTTCTGAGAATAAAAAAAAAAAAAATTAGCCTGGGATGGCACGGATCGCCCGGCCTGTGAGTAGAGAGCTGTGTGTTCCCCTCACCGGTGAGGACACAACCATTTCCTGGTGGCAGGCAGTCCATCATCAGGAGTGCTGCGTGGAAGGCACTTTGGAAAAGACCATCTCCTTCCATCTCCCAGCAGCCTCGTGAGGTGAGTACGTCTTCGCGGGGCCTCGAGAGAGGAGCCAGGACCCAGCTGGGGAGGCAGCGACTTTCTGTTGCTTGCTTTTGTCACTCCAGTGTCTCAGCCACCTGAGTACCCAGCCATCCTGCAGGGAGATGAGATCTAGCCTGTAGTTGAATTAGAGCCACGGTGCTCCTGTGAGCTGGGGAGGCGTGGAACGCTAATCTCGTTTAAATCTCCAAGGATTTGTGCAAGCTTGTATAAAGTAGTCCTAAGGTCCTTCAGAATCCAGGCGGTATGCCCATTTTAGAAACAGAGACTTGAGAATGTAATGCCCCCTTTAGCATCT